ATATAAATCACTTACTTTTATTCGATTCAAATTTGTTCTGAAATATAGTACTTTTATAATTTGGTATTTGAAAAATTGATCGCATAAGGTGTAGAGAAAAAAATCAGCGCCAAAAAATCATCTGAAAATTAAAATATCCCCATAACGTTGATGCACAAGATCTCTCCGACTCGGATATCAAAAATGGAAGACGATTTGGTGCCCCTTCATGTGAAGTTACTGAAAAATGACGCATGACGTTTGAGGTGCATGTTTTTATTGCTTTTATATTACTTTACCGTTTACGTACGTATATACGGAGTAATATACGTAGTTTAGGGAAAGTTATGTAATGCCGCGGAAAATCGATTTCGCGATTTCAACGGAAATATGCATTTTGGCCACTGATACCAAAAAAGTAGTTTTTTTCAAAATGTCTGTCTATCCGCCTTTCTGTGAACACTACTAGCACCTATACCATACGTAAGATTTTTTTTTCCAAATTGAAGGAACACGTGTCTATCTGGCTCGAGTCGAATCTCTGATATTTTGAAAAATATCTTTAAAATTTGGGGGTACTTGTAAGAATGGAGTAATATGCACTTATAAAGTGGCACAGATCTGCCTTTCAGGTTTAACTCTGAATTTTCGAAAATTTCAAAATTTTTCGGTTGTTTTCTTACAACAACAAAATTGAAGTTAGAGTTTGTCCGTCAAATAAAATTTGTTCACCATAGTGGGTTCTTTCATTAAGGCCGTGTAGATTTCTTTGAAAATTGAAGTAGTTTTTGCGCAATGTTGAGAGCAATATGCGCACTTGTAAAAAAATTACAAAAACAAGATTTTCTCAAAAAACTGCTCCAATTTTTTTCTTTAGACTTTTAATTGGGAATGTGTCATTAAGATGTCATAGACGCCATATTGCTCTATTTTTTTGTTTTGAAAAATTACAAAAATGTTCTTTTTTAATTAATAATTTTAAATATAATGTATTGTAATGTAATTAAACTATAAAAATGTAATTTTAACTTGTATTTCACGTCGTTACTATTTATATTAGCGACAATATGTTCACATTATTATATTTATGAGTACATATGCTTTAAATAATGTCAAATAAAGTTTCTCGAAAATTCACTAGTTTTCTGTGAAAACTGGCTCAAAATTCCGCATTTTCAGAAATGCTCAAATACCATTTTCTCAAAAATGATTCCAAATCTTTCTTCAAACATTACGAACGAATCGTGCTAATTGCACTCCTTAATATAATAAGTTCATTTCGGGGTATTTGGTTTCAAAAGTTACACAAATGTAGTTTCTTTAAAAGATCTCTCATGCACATTTCCAGCAATTTGTAAACACTATTGTATTTGTGAGTTAATGTGCTTCAAATGACTTCGAGTAATGTTTTTCGAAAACTCAAAACTGTGAACTTCAATTTTCAAATTTACAGTAGCGCTTAAACGCCAGTTTTTTTTTAAACGGCTCTAAATTTTTCAACGCAAATTGCCATTTAGTACGATATTTTCGTGTTCTTTAATATTCTTAAAATAATATTTTCGTTCTACTATTAGGAAACAGAAAAATTAAGAAAACTTGAAAAAAAATGTACTTTGGCGGGGATAAATGGTAGCTGGCAAGAGTATGTGGCTAGTCGGAACCAAAGGACATAGAAAACTAATACGAGAAAGTCTGTGCCATTTTGTTTAACCACTAGTTTTTATATCTGTGTTTGGTTCGAAGAAGTTAACTCGTAAATTGTAAATTTCTTCTAACGGTATTACCGTGGTAAATATTGCATGTTGACATTCGCTAAAAATTACGTTCGTCACTTCGTTCCCAACGTATATTATAATCGCAATCGTGATGCTAAAAACTTTGCCAAATTCCATTTGAAAGTCCGAAAAACATTTTGTTAAGATTTTCAAACTAATCAACGAGTACATTATTAATTTGAAAAGCGTGCAAAATTGAAAGAAACTTGTACAGCATCTAGTCCTGTGAGAGGTGTCTATGGTTCGTTAGACAAAGAGAAACTCAAAAAAATATAAACCAATGAGAGTTTCATTTTGATTGAAAATTGCAAATATTTGATTGTGATTCTCATTCTGCGCGTGTCGGTTGAATTCCTATACTCAGAGCTTCACTGCTCATGCGCCGGTCATGCAACCGCAAGGCTCTAAGGAAGAGGCCATCCGTAATTGAGTAATTGCTGTTCACTTGTTACGTAAAAGAACAGCAACTTTTTTACATCCTTGATATGAAACAATGCTGTAGTGTATATATACTGTACTATGTAATTGCAGTATTTGTAAATACTTTCTGTTAAAATATTTAATTTGTTGCAGTGTTAAAAAAAGCTATTTTATTTACTGTTCTCGCGCAGTGTGCGTGTTACTTTTTGGAAAATCATTGTGTTGTCTTATCCAGCAGAATTTTTTCTGCTGTGACTACGAGTATTCTACAAGGTGTCCCATTTAACTTGACAACTTGAAATAACTAAAAAAATACGCGATGTACGAAATATTGAGCCGAGACCAAATCTTAACAGTTTTGAAGGGGGAATCATTCTATGCTAAAATCAGCACACACCCCTGCCCCCAGCGGAGCCTCCATTTTTTATTTCAGATTCGGATTCTACGGACAAAAATACAAAAGTTTTGTCTAAAAATTTTTTCTGGTTTGTGATAGCTGGCGCTGTAATTGCAAAAATTTGATTTCCGAAGATTTGTGACTGTAATTTGAGTGGTTTTGAGCGTGGCCTCAGGGCACACTTGTCAATTTGTTGGTAGCGTCTCTCCATGGTCCGCGCCTACAGTACTTCAGAGGCGATCCGATATTTATCAAACATTTACTATTCTGAACTAACATTCCTCCTTGTTGCATAATGGATTATGTAAATGTGCAAGAAAAAACTGAAATGATTTTTATTTACGACAAAGCTGGGAGAAATTTCGACGCTGCTTTTAATTTGTATGCTCAACGTTTTCCTGACAAAGTTCTTCGCTCGCGTTCTTCTTTCGTTAGAATTGTTTAACAATTCTCTACTGACGGAAGTGTATAACCGAAGAA